TTTTTCTCTACCTATCTCTAAGCATCATAATGTATGATCATGCATGTTTAATCCTAGGTTGTATTATGCATCTAGATTGTTATTTCGATTCTTGCCCACTTCCGCTGCGCATGTATGTATTTTCTCCATCATGTGGTATCAGAGCATCTAGAATAACATTCATTTGCATATGGTGGGTACAAATTCATTTGATGAATTTTGTGGTTGAATTAAATTGGATATATTACGGTTTTGGCAATCCTCTTAATTTTGGCTTGTAATTATGTCCTTTTATTTGTTATTATTTTTTTTCCGAAGTCATTAGAGTTGGAATTAGGTTGTAATATTGGTCAAATTCAAAGAGATAAAAGCTGAAATTTAGCTTCAAACCTGCCTGCGACAAAGCTTTCGACCCGGTTCGGTTTTCCTCCCTTTTTGGTCCGGTTCGTGCTGTTTCAAGCCGGTTTGGGTTCTTGGAGGTCCGGTTTGAAGAGGTTCAAGGCCGGTTCAAGTTTCTACAAAATTGTTTTGTAATAATTTAGTTTAATTTAGTTGTAAGGATGCCAAAACATTTAATTCATTTTGAATGTATGAATTAAATGTTTTATATTGAATGTGCATAATGTATGCCATTTAGATTTAAAATCCCACCATAGGATTAAGCATGTATCATGCATGAGATATCTTATAAGTAGTTATAATGTATAGTATGCATGATAGATTCAAATTATGATTTGAATGTATGGTTATGGAGCATGCCTATAGTTTATAAGTGTTATAAAAGAGATAGACATTAAAATCCATAATAAAGATAATATGCATGCTCACTTAGGRTTAAATGGCCAATGCAAAAGTTTTCATAGGCAAAAACTAGGTCGTTACTCATAAATTGGTAAAACATGAACACTCACCCGATAAAATCTTGTCTAAGGCTGGGGGTATTTAAGTTGACGGTTTACGGAACACCCCCTACCTGGAGATTGAGTCGGTTCTTGAGTTGTGTTAACCAATTTCATGAGCATGCGTGAGCGGTGTGAGGTAATAAAATTGGTTTATCACCTAGACATCGTAGGTTTAAATCYAATATAAGAGTTATATTTGGATGAATCACCTAGACTTAGGATATGTTTATTTAGCCTGAATATATGCCTAAAGTGAAAATATACCCTAAAACCGTCTAGAACACTTCAGYTGGAGATTAGTAACGTACTATTAGCTCTAGCGTCCMTAAGAGTTCACAGCGTGAGATCCATGCTTGGCTTCGTGCCGCCCTGGGAGCGGCCTCCCTTMGGAGAGTGTTTGCATGGGTTATGAACAGGGTGAATAGGGGAAGTAGTTCATAGTAAGTGGGTGAAGGATTAGTGTCAACAAAATCCTATGGTCTCTTCCATTAGGTCGCACCGTGAGAGTCCTATAATGCGCCTGCATGTCTGCCCTGGAGCGACCTTACCAATCGGAGGGTGGTATTATARGATTCGGAACACCGCGAACTCCTAAAAGGATAGGATTTCTTAGATTTGTTTTCAATCTTGACTTTCCAATTTCGGGAGCATATTGATCCTAATCTTAGAAGTCTAAAAGTGGAAGGTCACACTTACAAGAATTACTAAGAGTTAGTATATTCTTGACCAAACCAAACGATAACTAAAGGCTATAGGAATAACAGTTATTCTGGTATTAGCATTTAATCAAGATTGTCTTAATTCAATGGAGGAATGGTTGACTGCTTCTCGGTGGAGGCTGTTCTAAACCATCGAAGTATCGTTGCAAATATAAATAAAAATTGGGTACTTTATTAGAATTTGCTAAACTTAAAATTGGATTTAGAAACTAATATAAATGATGTTTGTTTTTCAGCATGAATAGCTCAATAGTTCAACTCTTCGCTTCGGAAAAACTAAACGGGGTCAATTATTCAACGTGGAAAAACAATCTCAATACGATACTAGTCGTCGATGACCTACGATTCGTCTTAACTGAGGAATGTCCACAAACCCCTGCCGCAAATGCCAACCGAAATGTTCGGGAAGCATTTGATCGATGGGTCAAGGCCAACGATAAGGCCCGTGTCTACATTCTTGCCAGCATGACTGATGTATTGGCAAAGAAACATGAACCCTTGATGACTGCAAAGGAAATCATGGATTCATTAAAGGCGATGTTTGGGGAACCTTCATCGACCTTGAGGCACGAGGCACTTAAATATGTTTACAATGAGCATATGAAGGAGGGGACCTCTGTTAGAGAACATGTCCTGGACATGATGGTCCACTTCAATACTGCTGAAGTGAACGAGGCCACCATTGATGAAGCAGCAGAGAAAGCAACGACAGGTAAATACGATTTACTAGTTGTTGAAACATGTTTAGTGGAGTATGATACTTCCACCTGGATACTTGATTCAGGAGCCACTAACCATATTTGTTTCTCATTTCAGGAAACTAGTTCCTGGAAGAAGCTGGAAGAAGGCGAGATAATTCTCAAAGTTGGAACTGGAGATGTTGTCTCAGCCAAAGCAATGGGAGATTTAAAGTTGTTTTTTGACGATAGATACATTTTACTAGAAAATGTTTTGTATGTTCCTCTTATGAAAAGGAACTTAATATCTATCTCATGTTTATTAGAACAAATGTATAGAATATCCTTTGAAATTAATGAAGCGTTCATATTCAGAAAAGGTATTCAAATTTGTTCTGTTATACTCGAAAACAACTTATATAAGTTAAAACCAACCAGAGCAAATTTTATCTTTATGACTGAGATGTTTAGAACTGTCGAAACTCAGAATAAAAGACAAAAGGTTTCTTCTAACGCTTTTTTATGGCACTTAAGACTTGGACATATAAATCTCAATAGGATTGGGAGGCTGGTTAAGAGTGGACTTCTAAATAAGTTAGAAGATGACTCCTTACCACCGTGCGAGTCCTGTCTTGAGGGAAAGATGACTAAAAGATCTTTTACCGGAAAAGGTCTTAGAGCCACGATACCCTTAGAGCTCGTTCACTCAGACCTTTGTGGACCGATGAACGTAAGAGCTCGAGGTGGGTATGAATATTTCATCAGCTTCATTGATGATTATTCTAGGTATGGTCATATTTACCTAATGCATCACAAGTCTGAAACCCTTGAAAAGTTCAAGGAATATAAGGCAGAAGTTGAAAACCAATTAGGTAAATCAATAAAGACACTTCGATCGGATCGAGGTGGAGAGTACATGGACTTGAAATTCCAAGACTATTTGATAGAACATGGAATTCAGTCACAACTTTCTGCACCTAATATGCCTCAACAGAACGGTGTATCTGAAAGAAGAAACCGAACCTTGTTAGACATGGTTCGCTCTATGATGAGCTATGCTCAATTACCTGATTCCTTTTGGGGACATGCGTTAGAGACCGCTGTCTACATTTTGAACAATGTTCCCTCTAAGAGTGTTTCTGATACACCTTATGAGCTATGGAAAGGGCGTAAAGGTAGTTTACGTCACTTTAGGATTTGGGGCTGCCCAACACACGTGTTGGTACAAAACCCTAAGAAATTGGAACGACGTTCAAAATTATGCCTATTTGTAGGTTACCCAAAAGAATCAAAAGGTGGTTTGTTTTATAATCCTTAAGAGAATAAAGTATTTGTGTCGACAAATGCCACATTCTTAGAGGAAGACCACATTAGGAGTCATCAACCTCGCAATAGGCTAGTATTGAATGAGATGTCCAAAAACACTGCAGAAAGAGCTAGTTCATCAACTAAAGTAGTTTATGGAGCTAACATTTATGGTCAGTCACATCCTTCTCAAGAGTTGAGAATGCCTCGACGTAGTGGGAGGGTTGTTCTTCAGCCTGACCGTTACTTGGGTTTAACTGAAACTCAAATCGTCATACCAGATGACGGCATAGATGATCCATCAGCCTATAAACAGGAGATGAATGATGTGGACCGAGACCAATGGATAAAAGTCATGGACCTTGAAATGGAATCAATGTATTCCAATTCGGTCTGGGTTCTTGTAGATCAGCCAAATGACGTAAAGCCAATTGGTTGTAAATGGATCTACAAGAGAAAACGAGACCATACCGGGAAAGTACAGACTTTCAAGGCTCGACTTGTGGCAAAGGGTTTCAACCAGAGAGAGGGAGTTGACTATGAGGAAACTTTCTCTCTTGTTGCCATGCTAAAGTCGATTAGGATACTCTTGTCCATCGCCACTTTTTATAATTATGAAATTTGGCAGATGGATGTCAAGACAGCATTCCTAAATGGAAGTCTTGAAGAGAGTATCTATATGGTCCAACCAGAGGGGTTCATTGAACAGAGCCAAGAACAAAAGGTTTGTAAGCTTCAGAGATCCATTTATGGATTGAAGCAAGCATCTCGGTCCTGGAATATAAGATTTGATACTGCGATCAAATCTTATGGCTTTGAGCAAAATGTTGACGAACCTTGTATATATAAGAAAATCGTCAATTCCACTGTAGCGTTTCTAGTTTTGTACGTTGACGACATCCTACTCATTGGGAATGATGTAGGTTTTCTGTCTGACGTTAAAAAATGGCTAGCTAAGCAATTCCAAATGAAAGATTTGGGAGATGCACAGCATGTTCTAGGGATCCAAATAGTTCGGAACCGAAAGAACAAGACACTAGCCATGTCTCAAGCAACTTATATTGACAAAATGTTGTCTAGATATAAGATGCAGAATTCCAAAAGAGGTTTATTACCTTTTAGACATGGAATTCACCTGTCTCAGGAACAGTGTCCTAAGACACCTCAAGAAATTGAGGGGATGAGACATATTCCCTACGCTTCAGCTGTTGGAAGCTTAATGTATGCTATGTTATGTACTAGACCTGACATATGCTATGTAGTAGGGATAGTCAGCAGATATCAGTCTAATCCAGGATATGATCATTGGACTGCCGTGAAAAATATCCTCAAGTATCTTAGGAGAACGAGGAACTATATGCTCGTTTATGGTGCTAAGGATCTGATCCTTACTGGATACACTAACTCTGATTTTCAGACCGATAAAGATGCTAGAAAATCTACATCGGGATCAGTGTTCACTTTGAATGGAGGAGCAGTAGTGTGGAGAAGTGTAAAGCAAACTTGCATTGCAGACTCCACAATGGAAGCTGAATACGTAGCTGCTTGTGAAGCAGCAAAGGAAGCAGTGTGGCTCAGGAAATTCTTGACTGATCTGGAAGTCGTTCCAGACATACRTCTGCCCATCACTCTMTTTTGTGATAACARTGGAGCAGTTGCAAATTCCAAGGAACCTAGAAGCCATAAGCGCGCAAAGCATATTGAGCGGAAATACCATCTCATAAGGGAGATAGTAAACCGGGGAGAC